ATGACAAAGTTGGACTTTTGGCCATTTAACTTTCCTGTCGCATAGACACTGTGTGCTTTCCATTTTACACTTAACTGTTGGGACTTTCACGATGGGGATAGTGGGCGTCCCTCAGCACCAACCGCTACTGGTTTCCCGAAGTTGTCTTATTGGCAGTATTCTTCTTACACTGGTTCTTCATATGTCCTTGCTCTCCACAGTTCCAACAACCTTTCTGTTTAGCAGCCTTTCCTGCCGTGGCATCTTCTCTGTGTTGAAGTTTCCGGCATTGAGCTCTCTTGTGCCCAGGTTTGTTACAGTGCCAGCAAAGTCCCTCAAACATCTCTGAAAGCTGACCTTTTCTGGACTTGAATCCTGATGACTGTACCAACCTTGGTACTTCTGCACTGGACTTCAAAAGCTCTGGCCATTGCATCCTGCATAGTAGAGGGGGTGTGCTTGCTTTGCTTGTATCTTCACTTGTGGACCATCCAGGGCATCTACAAACTGATCCCTCAGCAACAGCTTGAGGTCATTGGGTGGTCATAGAAAGTAAATCATTCGTTAATGTATTTAATTCACTTTGAAATTTACTAATCTTTTCCATTTGTACTTCATGCTGATGTTGTACTCTTTCCTTGTTTTTCTTGCTATTGTTGCTGACTTTTCTGTACTTTTTGTAGACTTTCTTCCTGTTTCCTTTCTTGTTCCAGTTGTCACTGGTGCTGGTTTTCTTGCCACTGCTGTAGTCTCTCCTTGTTTCTTTTCCTTCTCATCCAACCACTGCTGTAGTCTCTATTCTTGTTTATTTTCTCGTTTCTTTTGCTGTTCTTGTATTATCTGCCATCAAATCTGCTAAGTTGTAGTTTGATTTGCCACTTCTCATTGCAATCTTTTTTTTTTTCTATCCCACTCTCTGACAACAATTTGTTACACATCTGCTTGTTTGTTAATTTCTGGTATAAATTCTTTCAGAGGAACTTCAGTGATACAAGTCCTTTCTTGATTAAATCAGTTTATTCTTTCTCAATACAAACTTTTAGCACACAGTAATTCCACAGTTAGTACGTTTCTCGTCACTTTAAACTTAACTTTTATAATACATGCTATAAATCAGTGATTCACAATCACTAACTTCTCTCTACGAGTGCAAAACATACAATAGCTTGAAACAGATTCGTAAATTAACATGACTAGTGTTCGCTTTATCAAAGCCCTGTCTGGACAAATATATTACAGCATCCAAAAGTTTGGCAAGATACCTCCCTATTTTCTACCACAGACTGCTGCTGTGCAACAGTTTTGCTGGAAATGGCATGTTTTGAACTACATTGAAAGTTTTCCCAAAGTGAAGCAGCAGCTTTACAAGCTTCGGTATTTGCATGGGCTGTCAATTTACATTTTTCTGTTTTCTGAATCTAGTAACTACAAAGCATGGTTCTACAGAACCACTTTTTTTTTTAGCAAAATGGTGGCAACAGAAACATTATGCAACATCCACTTTAATGCTGTACTCTACTTATGGAAACTAACTACACCATTTGCTGCAGAAAGAGCTATTCTGACAACCACTTTCCGTTGGTGGCAGTGTAAACAGAGTAGGTTGGTTTGGCCCATCTATTTTCATTCCTAGGTTCTGGAGGACCAATACTGACTGAGCTGCATTGTAAGATATTCTGTATTAGGGTAACCAAAAAAAAAAAAAAAAACTTTGCTTGGTTCCCTATAGTAGGCCTACATGTTTAAAAATGGCTATCTACTACTGGTACACTAAGTTTTAAAAATATTAAATAAATTCATTGCATTTAAGACATTGTGTACAAATCTGATTTTTACTTATTTAAACTAAATAGAAACATCTGTGTAGAAAAAATCCATACAAGAAACTTCGGGAATAAACCTTTTTTTGAAGGTGGTGCTACATTTCAGTATCTGTTTTAGAATACGTGCATTTATTTAAGTTACAATTACCATATCAAGCAGTGGAACGCAATTTTATCTGAGACCGTAGTACTAAAATGCTGTAACCCAAAATGTTGGTCACATAAAAACACTGACATCATAATAATGATCAGACCCTTTGCAATGTATTATACTTAAGGTGAATATTTGCATGGATATATTATAACAAACTCTGTAATAACGTTATCAGTCGGCTATATAGGAAGACAATTCTCACATTCTGGAGTTTCATATTGAAAAAAGATTAATGATGTGCTTTTACCATGACAGCACTACCACTGAGGTTTTTATAATGGAAACTATGCTACAGGGCTGTTTTCAAGATGCACAACCATAATAGAGCATGAATGAACTGAATTAACGCATGGACTTTAACTCCAAGTTTGGACCCCTAAATCATTTTAGTATAATTTATTCAATCTCTGTAGAAAACATCTTTTTGCCCAATAGCTTAATATATACAATATACTTAACACCCAACTCTTTTATTCCATCAATATGTGATGTTTTATGGATGAAATTTAAGTTGGTTGCTTGGATACCGTAAAGTAATATATTTTAAAAGTAAATGAAATTTGCAAGTTCTGGCTTGACAGCTAAGAAGTGTTTATCAAAACAACCAAGCTTCTACAGCTTGTCTGTACAACCTCCTACAGAAATGCTGAAATACAACGGAGTAAGGAATTTTGCTTTAATCCATTCTGTAACTTTTTAAGCTTCAATCAACATTAAAGAACAAAAAGGAATATAACATACACTCACTCGCAGTACAAAATCCCTCTTAAACACAAGTGAAAGTTAAAACAAAAATGATTAAACATTGGTAAAATATTAATGTTAATGACTGCTACAAACTAAGATAATGGTATCTTATCAACAAGCATTATAACCAACTCTGTATATTGTTAGGATGTTGGATTTAATTTTCAATCTGTATGACATCTTATGTGCACATGAGCTAAATGTAAAGGTCCAGTATCACAGGTGTTATCTTTATAAATGCTAGATTAATGGAAAAATTCTTAAATATAGGTTGTATAATGTCAACTATAAATGCTGATAGGATAAATTGTATGCATAACAACTCTTGGTATAATAATTCTGATACAGTTAACATTATTCTACCAATGATTTATTGGATAACTTGAAAAATAGTGTTTTGAAATTTAGTTTTTTTAGTGGTTAAAAGCATAATGTGGCATCAGTTTCTTTTTCCTAACACAATTGCTATTTTATTTCACAATGGTTCCTTGACTTACTGTGTTAACAGTGTCTTTTGCTGTAAAGATGTACATGTTATATTATGAAGATTTCAATTAACTTGTGCATAGTTATAGGCTATCATAAATTAAACGTTTGTAGATTGATATTCAGACCACTTGTGTAACAGATACTTTGATCTTTCTTTATTAGAAAAGGGTGAAAGTATAGTGCTTAAAATAAATAATTCTACAATGTATACAATACTTCCTATTTTGCATAGGAAAGGATGTATACTACACAAAATTGATAAAAATATTTGTTTTTTCTCTTTTGCAGGGTTGCAAAGTGTTGAAGCTCCACAGCAGATGTTTCTCTACACCATTGGACTCTTTCAAGGTTGGCAAATATGTGCAATAAAGTCATTTCATATTATTGTTATTCATTCATATTTTGGTTATATTGTGACTTTTCTTCCCAAGAGTGAAAAGATAGGTTACAGGATAACAGACTTCAAGATATCACAATCATTCTGTAAGTGAGCTTGCAAGAAATACTGTACACAAGTGTACATTCACAATAAACAATCAATTTCACAAATATAGTGTATGTATATTTACTTGTCTCAACAGATTGTTGCTCATAATAGACTTTAGAAGCAAGTTTCTCCTATACCTACTTAATTGAGGTCTTTTACATAAACATGCCTGTGACATCATACTAGTTTAGAGCTATTGACAGTAACCCCCCCACCTCACCCCACACACATGCATGCACAGTAACTTTAAAATGGCAGAAAACATGCAATATGCCTGTTTTACTACACTTTTACTCACTAACTTAAGAAGTTTGTTCTCAAGCTGATCTTAAACTTTAAAGCCAAGTAACTTTACAAACTTGCATACAGTTATCCTGTTTATGTCTGCTAAGTGAAATGTAGAGATTTTATGCAGTAAAATATTCCAACTTATTAATGGAAAAGATTGCTTTTAAGGAATGACTATTAAATGTTAAAATTTTTAAGGTGAATAATCCAACAGCGTTCTCTTTGTTTTTTTTGTACAATACATACAGAAATATCAGTAAGCAATAGTTATATCATAGTAATAATATAAAACAAACTTTTTAGTATTGGCATCACAATTCCTGACACAATAACAGACCTTTCAAAAACTCTTATGCCTAAGCAAAGAAAAGTACAAAATACAAGGTAAATCCTTAAAGAAATAATACTTGAACAACAGTTAAACAAATACCCTAATATTTGCAATGTACATGCTAAAAGATTCCAGAACAAAACTACCTTTTAACACTACAGAATAAACTGGCATATTTTACATTAAACAAAACAACAATAAAAAAAACCATTGATAAAGAAATGGATCCCTTAACAGTGGAATAGTATGTTATAAAAGCAAAACACTAAATATTAGTCAATTTGAATTTTGCAGCAAAGCAAAATGAGAATGGAAAATTAACTAAAATAACAAACTAATGCATACTAAGCAAATCTATTTTTAAACATGTATTAAATTCCAAAAAAAGATTCAAATATAGCAATATAATACTAACAGAATGGACCTTATCCAGTACTATGCTAATGCATCAGCCCAGATTGTGCCCAAGTATTGACTACTGAAAAAGCCTTATTCCACCTGGTGAAGTAGTCTTACTATGAACATGTAAATAAAAAAACGTGTTTCATCTATGGGAGTGTACCAGTGATAACCAGAGCTAACTTCTGTAAAAATGAAAAAAAAAAACAAAAAAAACTAATTTTTTGCTGGAATTTACTTGTTTAGATCAACATTTTCTCTGATTGTACAGTGTACACAATTGTTAACACCATGTTGAACATCTTGACTCAAGTGCTTACAGTAGAATCAATGAATGTTGATACAAATGCAGATAACACCTTGGTATCCTTCAGTCTTTATTATGGAAGGTCTGGAGAATCCCATTTCTTAACTCTGCAGTCCACTGTTCCCAAGTCCATTCTGGCTTACATCACTACTTCTATGGAACATCAATTCATCAGTTGCAGAGACAAATTTGACCAATAAGTTTTGAAGTACATTCATCCCAAAGGTCCCAATACAAGAACCATGGTTGGCAATAACTACCATCATGCTATTAGTGGTAACATCTAAAAGAAGCCAGAGACTTTCTTCTCCATTCACATCACCATTTGGGAGAATGAATTTGGTATCAGCTGGCTGAAGGGAGGAAGGGTTTTACTAGAAGTGTGATATATAGTAAAATCTAATATTTCAAGCCACTCCTGTATCAACCAGGAATATACCAAGCTCCCCCAAACTAACCACCAAACATTAGCTGACTGCAATCCTTTTCCAAATTGGTGGTTATTAGTTTTTCAGATCTTTAATGGAAGCATTTACCACTTGCTGCTGGCTCACCTGCAGCAAAGTATGAAAGTTCATTTTAGTTACCCAACATACCATAGGCAAAGCAAATGCTCTGCTTCTCATTTCCAGGACTACATCCATGCAGAGGTGTCACTGGCATAGGCTGCATCATAGAAAACCCTTTAAGACCAGTGCTCATTCACTGAATGCCAGAGTGATTTTTGCTGCAGCACTGGGAGTGTGTGTGTGTTAATTAACCCTCAGCAGGGGTTAAGCTCAGAACAACAAATATCCGGGTAAAAGAATCTGAGGTAATGGCCACTGCAGCTGCCTCTGCAGGTTTCTTTCTCTCCTGCAATTGGTTTAAAGTAAACTTTATACCATGATTCTTTTTCACAGAGATGGATCTGTATAAAGACAACTTATTAGCCAATCTGATTGCACCAGGTGGTGGTAGCTCTCCTTCCCGAACCATTGGCTGAAAAAACGTCATAGAGCTTAGCAGTATCACAAAATCCTACTTCTAAGCAGACTTCTCCTAGACCCAAGAGTTTTCTTGTATAACTGTTTCCCTTCAGTGACAGACTTCTCCTTAGTCATAAGCCCTTTTACTCCTAGAAAGTTCCACTTCCTTGAATAAAATAAGCCTTTTAAAACTTGATATAAAAACCTGAGCAGGAATCAATACACATCAGCAGGAAATGGGAAAACTGCAATAAAATATCCTGTGGTCAAGATACCAAACATTTCTCCTTCCTACCTGTCCTAAGGTATCCTCAGGTAAAAACCCATTAAGATAGGTCTGCAGAATAACAGGAGATTGTTCAAGATATTTGTCACAATGTTATTATGTATTACCTGAGTTCATAATAAATTATCTGATCTATCTTTATTAAGTTCACAGACACTGTGTATGTGTATTTACTTTCCATGGTGGATGGTTACCTTTACTGGAGACTTGCTCAGTTGAAGTATTGTGCCAGAATGAATAAGCATCACATTACTTAGCTAACTTGGTAATGTAAAAGTTACCTAGATCTAACTTGCATTACCCACTCGTCCAGGACCATATTAAGGGTGGGGCAGAAGGAGCAGCTGTACGAGGGCCCTGACCACTTGGAGGTTTCCCAATGAAAAGAAATTTTGAAATTTTTATGCATTGTATGCACATGTATTTATAAGAGGAGAGGGAGACCCCTACTCATTGAAACATAAAGGAGGTCGTAAAGTCTAGATATCACTTGAGTGCCAGTGGAAAAGAAGACTGTGTAACTAAATACAACCTTAGAGCTATTATTTTTCATCCTACAATAAGTTACAAAGAAAGATGAATGACACACAACAAGAGGCAGTATAGCAAAAAGAACTTGTTAACCAACTATTGTGGTAAAACTACACAAATACACACTAATATGTGTGTGTGTGTCTATATATAGACACGCATACACAGAGCTGCACCAATAAAGTTCCCATATTGAACCGCGATAAAAAAAAAACAAAAAAAACTAATAATAATAATAATGGTAATACATGGTATACATATATACCACAATATTTGATATGATTGAATTAATATTCAAAATTTATATGCAATGAAATGAGTTTCATTCTATTAATAAATAATGTTAAGTGTTGGATACTTTTGAATAATGAATAATTTTTTTGAAATTTAGGTTTTGAAAGGTTTTTTTTCTTCTGCACATTCAACTAAATGATTAGTTTATTGAATGCATTTTGTAGTTTGCAGACCTTGAAATTATTAAAGCCAAACCTTCGGAGATGAGTACCAAGCCTGATAGTAATCACCTAATCTTTGGAAGACACTTTAGTGACCACATGCTGGAGGTAGAATGGACAGCTGCAGGAGGTTGGAGAGTTCCTCGAATCTGTCCCGTTCATAACCTGTCTCTACACCCTGGTGCAAAGGTCTTGCACTATGCTCAAGAGGTGGGTTCATGTAATATTATAAGCAATTGAAAATTATACAAGACACATCATTTAGAGCTAAATAATTGCACCACAAAAAATTGAGTGTGTGTGTGGATAATGAATGAAAGGGCAGACATTAGTTGTGAAAAAATATAAGATACAAATTAGTGGAACCATAGTTTCTGTGTGTGTGCTAGAAATTGATCACAGCACCTACTAGAACTTTAAAAGATTACTTCGTTGACAAAGTAGCTGATTATTTGTAAATGCAGGATATTTCTTATAAATATTTACATGCTGTGTTTTACAATATGACATTTGTAAATCTTTATCCACCTCACTCTTATCTCATAAATAGTAATAGTTATGAGAGTTTCTGCCAACTCTGTCTTGTTTTTTAAAATTATTTTCAGCTGTTTGAAGGCATGAAAGCTTTCAGAGGGGAGGACAACAAGATTAGGTTATTCCGACCAGATCTTAATATGAAAAGAATGAGAACTTCGGCAGAGAGATGCAGTTTTCCAGTAAGTACCAATGCACTGAATTTATTCTTTATCTATATGTACAGAATTCTTAAAGGACCATTCGGTCCTTCAAAGCCTGAGAAAAGGTCAAAGCTTATAACCAGTCTTTATTATTCAGGAAGTTATTGATTCCCCCCTCCCTTTAAACTCGTGTAAAGTGCAGGCCTTTGCTACTGATGACAGCTACTCATTCTCTAAGGGAATTACTCTGTTACAAAAATAACTGGTCATAACTAAAACTTGTTTTTTACAAATATTAAAACTTGTATTTGCTCATGCTTTTTATCTTCAGAAGCAAGTTCAAACAAATCAGATGGCTTGATAATTTTGTAAGTTTCAATAAAATTTCTTCTTATCCTTCTTTTCTTAATACAATCTAAATTAAACGTCAACCTATCCACACAAGATAATCTTTCCATCTTTGGAATTATCCTTATTGTTTTCTGAACAAATAAGTGAATATCCTCTTTGAAATAAGATCAAAATTGTAGGTACTATTACAAAATAAAACTAATTGATAACTACAGGAGGTTTGTAAAGATATTTAAAAAAAAGTTCATAACTTAATTCTCCCAGTGCTACTGCCAAGACTGTTTTTGGAATGAGAAATATGTCACTAGTGTTGAATGCTAGGCTTAGATTAATAAGTAAGGTTAAGCAGACAGGCTTGTTGGACTTTTGGGATCAGTTCAATGGGTAAAGGAAGCTTTATAGAGTGAATGTTTTACACTTAGATAGGGCACCGACTGTATTTTTTGTAAGGGATATTAAGTCAGCTGTAAGAGCAGCTTTAAACTTTGGCTAGACATAAAAAATAAGATTTAAACTAAAGAGTAATGTAGGAAAAAGAATAGTAGTAGTTTTAAGGGTAAGCTAAATTGTTACTATGCATGTGATGCTAGAAATGTAAGAAATACTTTAGAACTCTAGTATAAATGGAGGACTTTGATATTATGGGAAAAAGTGAAACTTGGATAAGTGTGGGCAATTTTGATAAATGTCTTTGAAATACAAGGTTAAGGTTAGTATATAAAGATAGAGTACTAAGGAGAGGGGAAGTAATGGTTTTATATGTAAAATGTGAGTTAGACCATATTCAAAGATAATGGCAGGAGATTAAATCTATTTGGGTTTCTGTTAGATGATCTAAAGGGAGAAGATTTTTGGTTGGAATTTTTTACAGACCACTAGGTGAAACTGATGCATTTAATAAGAAAAAATACAATGAAACTAAGATTTAAGCAGTATTCCTCATCCTGAACTGTTGCTAGATAGACACAAGACTGAAAAAGATGGCTGCATTAATTCTGAGCTTGTAAGAAACAATTAGGAAGTTTAAAAAGTTATAAGGATACTGCCCCAGATAATACTTGCCTATGGGTTTTGAAGATGGTTAAGGCTTGGTTCTGTGAGTCACTTGCTAATATTTTTTGTAAGTGCTTTAATAGTGGGCTGGTTCCAGAAGACTGGAAGTGTACTAATGGTACTCTTCATTTCAAAAGAGGTAATAAAAATTGTCTAAGTAATTATAAGCTCATTAGTTTTGCACCAATGGTGGGAACGTTTTTGAGTCTGTTAAAAGATACTTTACATATTTTATTACAAAAATTATCTCTACGGGGGGTAGGGAATGATTTGGCTCATTTGGGAAAAAAGGTTGCTACACTTGGGATACCCTAGACCTTTGCTCTTTTTTCATTTACATCAATGACGTATATGAATAAATGCTGAAATTTGATGATATTAAGATAATGGGTGTTACAGGTAGTGAAGAGGATGCTTCTGCTTCATAAAAGGATTTGGAGTATTTTCTAAGTTGGGCAAATAAAAGCTAGGTGGCTTTTAATTATGATAACTGCAAGGTAATGCATGTAGAATATCCTAAATTTATTTGTAAATATAATTTGGATTGAAATAACCTCAACAGTGTTTTAGAAGAAAAAGATTTTGGTTTTCTGGTTGATCAGTCTCTTAATCAATGTGCTGTTGCTAGTGGTATGGCAAATAGGATTATAGTTTATAGAAATGCTCTAAAGAAGTTTGTTTCATTGTATAGATCACTGATTAGGCCTAACTTGAAGTATAATGTTCAGTCTTGGGCTTCTTACCTTATGCAAAACATTGAACTATTGGAAGGGTTTCAAAGGAGGATTGTTAGGAATTATACCCGAGATGGAAAGGTTGTAGTGAGAACAGGTTAAGATCTTTTAAACTATTTCCTCTTGAAGAAAAAAAGAGTTAGAGGGAAACAGGTGTTTAAGATTGTTAATTTAGAGAGTTGATGGTGTTGAAGCATTATCATTTTTTGTACTTAGTGAGGAGAGTGGTAAGAGTAGGAGGCACGCATATAAATTTTGACTGGGTAGGAGTCATCTTCAGCTAAACAGTTTTATTTTTCTAACAGCGTGATTGGCCTTTGAAATGGGTTGCCTTTGGATATGATGGATGCAGAAAATTTAAGGGAAAGACTGATAAATATTCATGTAATAAAGGCTGCTTTGAGTTTTTAAGGTTTAGGTTAGTAGATGCGACAGCCTAGACAGACCAACAAATCACTTGTCCTTGAATTTTGTTATGCTAAGGCATAATTAATGGTCTGTAAAAAGAGGTGATTACCTATTTTGACCTGTAATCCATAGACCTGAAATTCTATAAGCTTTCCTGCTAGCAACAAAGCACTGGCTTATCCACCAGCAGATGGGAACTAACTCACTAATATGACTGAAAAAAAAAAGGATTCTGGCACAGTAGTGCAAGCCTGATATATGACCTGATGATTATGGCACTTGGACTTCAATTTGTGGGTCATGGGATTGAAACCCACCATGGAACATGCTTGCCTTTTCTGCTGTTGGAGCATTATGTGATGGTCAATTTAACTACTTATGGGTAAAGAATAGCCCAAAAGTTGAAGGTGAGTGGTGTTGATCATCTTTCTTCTCTCTAGTCTATCACTTCAAAATTAGGGATTACTAACTCAAATAGCTCTCTAATAGCTTTGCATGAAATTGAAACAAATAGTGATATATTAAATGTCTGATTCAAATCATTATAAACACAAATGAATTACCTTGCATTTACTATAATTAAAGATTAGTTGCCAAATATTCGTACAGTTAACGAGTTAACCAGTCATTCTATAGTACCTCAACATCCTTAATACAGCTAGAAATATCCAAAAGTAATTTATTAATTATATCCTATCAATATTACTAACATAAATAAGAAAAAGCAAAGGCATATGCACTGACCCCTGAGGCACTCCACTAGTAATAAGGATCCAATTTGACTTGGAACTATAACCTTTTTTTGTCTCATTCTACAATCCAATTAACTTGTCCTTTCCAAACCTTCAATGATGTGATTTTCTTTGGTAATCTTTTGAGTGGCACCTTATCAAAAACATTTTAATATCTAAGTACACTAGAATTCTGCACCCAATCCATTGATCAGATAACCTTAACATACTTAAAAAAAGTTAACATATTAAGAAGTGATGATTTCCCTATAGGGACAATATATTAATTTTATGATATATTACACAAGAGGATTTTGCTAAGCTTCTTTTTATCGAACTTTTATAATTTTGACTATAGAGGTAAAACTGATTGGTTTAAAATTTCCATTGCAACTCCCTATAACTCTTTAAAATAGGTGTAGGATTAGCAAATTTCCAACCCTTGGGCATCTGCCTACTGTCTATTGGCTTATCAAAAATGAAACAAATGAAAAGCTTGTATATCTGATTTTGACCTCCATTAAAAACTGTGTGGTCTTATTGCTTTATTTTTAATCTCAATTTTTCTATATAACACCAAGGAATCCATATTGGATGATTCAGGCTGATCATGTTATTTTAGGGTCAGGAATATTACTAATACTTTCATAAAAATAGAACATTTAAAAGCTCAACCACTAGCATTCTTTAAGGGTCAAATACCCCTTTTAACATTTTTCTTATCTGAACGTACTTCAGAAAATCCTTGCTGTTAGTTTTAACATTATCAGTCAGTCTAATTTCTTAAAACTTGTGGTATTTATTCATAATTTTCTCCTTTTTGTATTTAGATTTAACCTAAAGTGACTTATTTCCCTGTTACTCTTTAATTTTTATGAATATGACTATCTTGAAATAAAAACAGTTTATTCTTAAATATTTCCAAACCCTGCCCAATCAAGTAGTAGGACATTAATAATCTGATCTCATTATATACAAAATTCTCACATCAACAGTCTGATAAGGTATCTTTTAAAAACTGCCAGTTAAAAATTTTCTACCCTTCAATCTCTTGACTACCATTTTTTTCTTCATACAAGAGCTAATCAACTAATCATTGGACGTATTAATAGATTGTTAAAACTAGCAGATTATTCTCATATGAGACTTGAATAGTTGGAATAATCCAAGAGTGATAATTGGAAACATTAATTTTAATTAGTTCATTATTTTCATGTTGTTAATCAATTTAATCATAGTATAAATTAATAATTATCTTACAAAATGTTAATCAGTGTAATTGAGGCTAATAGGTAATAGTTAATTGTCCATTTCTACTTCTTATCCAACAGCCCCCCAGTGGCACAGCAGTATGTCTGCAGAGTTATAACGCTAGAATCCGGGTTTTGATACCTGTGGTGGGCAGAGCACAGATAGCCCATTGTGTAGCTTTGTGCTTAATTACAAACAAACTTATCCAACATGCTACATTTCATTCTTTATATAAACAGCCAATTTACCACCTCTTTTAAAAAGTATCATTATTATGTAACTTACAACTTTAAATTTCAAAATAAGTTATATTATATTGATATGAAATATTGATATTTAAATTTTTCTTAAGATTCATTACTTTACAGGCATATCATGGGTTCTCAAACTTTTATAGTTATACAGAAATATTTCAGTTATTGATTATGTGGTTTCCACATTGTTGTGACAACATAGTCCAGAAAATTCATTAACTTTGTTTAATTCTAGTTGTTTCACACTTTGTTCTCTAGTAGGTAACATCTCCTCTACTGGATATTTCAGTATTGTATATGGAATCTGGGTTTAATGAGTTAGAACTGAAATATCCTTGGCTGGCTATTTATGATATTGGCTGAAAGTGACAACTGTTCACTAGACAAAGAAAGTGGGTTTACACTCTAAAATTGATCAGTTTTCCTTAGTTCCGAATTTCACTAGAAAATCAAACCAGAAGTGTTACTTTGAAGATGTGTGTATGTTTAGTTTTGCAAACATCAATCATGGTTAAGCATCAATTATCTAATGGAAAGAGATTGTCCCATGGCTTGCAAAGGTATTGAAGCTGTTTCAGTGATTTCAATCTATTAATACAATAGAGATCTTAGTTCTATCAAGTCACCTAGTTTATTCTACTCTTAAAGAGAAACAGTTAGCCATCCTGTCACCTACTACAAACACACTCTGTATTCTTGGGTGAATCTGTAGCTTTTGTAGATCTGGTACTTTTCCAGAGACTAAGGGGCCATTGCTACATTCTCGTGGTTATTGATTATTTCATGAAATGAGCCAACCCATATATTTTACCTGACAGGTTAGTGCAATCTATTGTAAACACTTTATCTGAAAATTGGATAACATGGTTTCGAGCACTGGAAGTGGTCCACACAGATTAGGGTGCTAACTTCAATAGCCAACTGTTCACTGAGTTGCACTAGATGTGATACTCTTACTTCACTTTATCACCCTCAGCCTGATGGTCTGGTAAAATGGGCAGTATAAACTACCAAACAGGTACTTGCAATGTTTATTAAGCTCAACAGAGCTAACTGTGACAACACTTATCATACATAAAAATGGCATACAGAGCAATGGAACAAGGATCATTTTTGGACAGCAAGTTTCACTCCTATATACATGATGTATGGCCATCCACCATGAGATGTCCCCCAGTTCCACCAAGAGTACTTAGAATGGTTGTAATTGATTATGGTCTATGCATATGTGTTTGCTAGACATCAACTCAGGAAGTCAGCACAAATACAGAAAAGGTGTTAGGACAAGACAGTGAAGGAATAAGTGTTCCAGTAATGTGACTGGGTGTGGTTGTGGTACATACCAACAGCATGGAAGTAACATGGATCTGGCTGGACTGATTAGTACCTGATATTCCACTGAGTTGGCTTTTTAATATGTGAGATGTAGTGGATGCAAGGTTTGTGGAACACATTAATAAACTGTGTCCATACGTTGTAGATGAACATTTGGTGCACTGGCTTGGCCAGGAGTCTGGAGAAGAGACCAACAAGTCAGGAGAAGATGAGGATGCTGAATTGAGTCTTTGAAGAGCTAGAATAGTCACTGGAACTGGAGACTGCTGCCAACCCTGACTGGTGTTTGATATACAGTTGTTGCCCCCCACCCAGTTGGTAGAGGTGGGATTGGCTGGTTGATGTTCACAACTAGGATGATGTTTGGGTTGGGCATCTAATGACTGAAAGAAAGTGACTCTTTCCTTAATATCCAAGCTATAGGTTAGAAAGGTCTGACAGAATGAATGCTTTACATGCATCAAATACTACTTGATCTGAAAAAGTTATGATTGTCAAATAGTTGGATTATTACTGACTGAAAGAGCATCATAACCCTTCACTTTCTGAGCGTCATAGTGAATCTTTTGCTGTGACACTTTGTTCAGTATTTTGGGAAAATCACCCTTAAAGTCTAATGAAGTGACAAGGAGTCTGTTGTTCATATTGCCTACTTCTTGATGAATTTTAGTGATCTTCATGGGAGATATGCATCTGTTATCAATAAGGGAATCTATTTATTTCTGAGTGTGTTATAATTCAGTAGTGACATAATCTTATTAAATTAACATTTAGTTCAGATTCATCCAAAGATAAACAGTAATTATTTTGTGAAACCTGAATTTATAAATTAGTTGGTTAGCTGCCTCTAGATGGCACAACTGTCACTACCAAGCTTAGCTTCAGCAGGTAAGATGAGGTAACTTGGAAGTTGCCAAAGCTGGCCATGTGATAGCAGGATTAAACTACTACAGTACTTAGTATAATGTAAACAAACATATGTGTGGTAGCACACACTTTTTTGGAAACATTACACTGAGTTCTTCATAAATTTTTAAACAAATTAAAACAACTGAAGCAACAACATAGAGATATAATTGTAAAAATAAGAGGCAAAGGAAGTGAGAAGTTCAAGAGAGCTTGGAAACAGATAACTTGATCTTGATGTTAATAATTAATAATTAGAAAGTTAATTGTGATAGAATAACCTGGAAGGTATTACTGGATAACACAGTGTGCCTGTGATTTTCATTAATGCTGAAAGAGAATGTTTCAATTTCAACACACATGATTGACAGGTTTGTGAAGTGCACAATGAAAGCAAGAGCTCATACTATAGCAGGAGAGAAAAAACAGTTTAAGTGAATGAAAGAACCTCAACTTTCCAGGACTGAAACCAGTGATGGGACCCATGGGACTTGTACAACTGTCACTGTCATTAAGGTCACATGAGACACTACACAAATGGTAAAGCTTGGGTCTCCCTATAAGGTTATTAAGGATTCGGTCACATTACAGCAGATCCCAGCATTGAAGTACCATAATCGGGAAATGGCTGCTGAATGGATTGAAGCGTGGGCCTTGTACAAGGAGCCAAAAGGAAGATCAGCTGTAACAAGGGTGCAGAAGTTGTTTTAGTGATTTCCTGTTGTTAGTACAATAGATTTGTAGTCTTTTTATAAATAAAGTTGTCTGTCCTCCTACTCTTAAAATGAAATACTCAGTCTGCCATTATTTTACAGACCCTCAATAGTTCTAGGCAAATGTTCTGCTATTGCACACCACATATTTATATGAAATATGGATGTATAAAGTATGGGCCTGATATGAACTAATGGTTAGGCCACTTGACTTGTAATCTGAACATGCTTGTCCTCTATGGTTGGTGACTGGGCCAGCCACCAGAGTGTAAAAATTCTTGACTTCCAAAAATACTGGCTAACTCGAAACTAATTGGGATTAAGGTAATTACGTGGAAGAAGATGAATGTATAAAGTTTACTGAAATTTGATTACATTACAGGAATTGCCTCATAAGTTGGACTGTAAGACTAAGCTTTCTGATAAATACACATTTTACTACAGATGTATTAATTCATGAAACAATTTGTTGTAATATTCCTTCATTTGTAGTTAATTATTTTTGTATATTGTACACCTTTTCTCTTTTTTTAATTGTACCATCTCTTGAGTTTGTTTATGCATGATGCCAGCTCACACCACCATAGAATTAATTCTAATATTATTCTCATAGTAACACAAAACTGACTGACACTGAAGCCTTTGTCACAGTATCTATGGCCATATGTAAATCATTATCAGTATGTAAATATGTTTATTGGGCATTTTTCAATAGCCAATAATCATCCCACATCAAAGTGTAATCTTATTTTGTGGTAACAAATAAGACAACTGAAGACTATGCCAAACACTCAAGGATGTGAAGATTTATATTGGATATTATTTGAAAAGTGATTGTACTTAACTGTTGTGAGTAATAATTAACTAGATTTTATGATAATTTATGAGGTTAAGTTTTCTCTTTGTGTCCTTTTTTTTTTCTAATGAGGTTATATTGTTGAGCTAGAAGTTTAAAATTTATTTATACAATTTGTAGAAGTCAAGGCCTAGCATTTTTAAATACATCATATATTTTAACTTGTGAATATTCCAATAAATGCTCTTGTTTTTCTTTTCAATAATCCTGTATTAAGTTTTCAGTTATTCTTAGTGTAAAATATAAGTTTTATTACAGTTTTAGTTTGAAAATGTAGTTTATTCATAGATGCATTAAGAGTAACTGGTTATTTTTATTATTTGAAACATTGCATATATTGTTATTGAATAATAGAATGATCCAGATAAAGTATTTTTACAAACTTAATACCTTACCATTAAGTTTATTAAATTGTTGGAATGTAATTAAAAATCCAGATTTTGTACTGCAATCATCAGTATATACATCGTTTTTCTTCAGGATTTTGATGGTAAAGAACTTATTAAATGTATAAGAAAACTGATTAGTTTGGACCAGGAATGGGTGCCTTATAGTTCTTCTTCTTCACTCTATATACGTCCTACATTTATTGGTATAGAGGTAAGATTCTACTTATTTTTCTTTACAAAGTTTGTATTACATATATGTGGAAATATGCATAAGATTTAAGTTTTTTATGATATATGTGGCATTCAACAAGGAATTCGAACATTATCCTTCTGGTAAAGTATATATATTTTAAATTATGAAGATTAATAGATATTTGGTGAGCTTGTGACAGAAAACTGAGCATCAGTGGTGTGCATTTATTTTCGGATTGTGAGGAATTTTGTATTGCCCTTACTGACTATAATATAAACTTTTCACTTTACACATTTGTTTTCTTATTCTAGCCTTCTCTTGGCGTAGCTGCAGCAAACAGAGCTCTTCTCTTTGTTATAACAGGCCCAGTTGGTCCATATTTTGCTACAGGAGTGAAGCCTGTCTCCTTGCTGGCAGACCCTAAATTTGTACGTGCATGGCCTGGAGGGGTTGGAGACAAGAAGATGGGATCGTAAGCATTATACTAACTCTTATTTGTGATAAATGTGTGTGTAGTGCTTTTATGTATTACAGTATTTATTCTCTTTTCATAGTTTTTGTTCTTCATGCAATACTGCAATTCAGCATCATATCTGAGGACTTGTACTGCTGAAAATCAAGTTTTGATACCTGCGGTGAGGTATAGCATAGATAGCTCAACTAAACTATAAACCATGAAACATTTTCTTGTATTTTTAGCAAATTTATCTAAGCTATAATATGCTTGTAATTGGCTATATTCTAGCAACAGTGGCTTAAATATTTTATGTAGGACATGATCTGTTTTTTGCGTTATTTTAGTAACCACACTTTATACCTTAAACATTTTCTGCATTTAACAATATCCTAACATTTGTCTTAGATCTATATTTAAGACCTTATATGTAATATATTTTAGCCATGTAAATATGGCTGAAAAATATATTTTTAAATATTATTTAAAATAATAATTAATAAATACTTCACCCTAGTAATTAAGGCTTATATGTAATTATTGTATTTTGTAGATTATGAAAATCTAACTTACTGTAATAAATTCCTTTCGATATTTCCATTTCAGAAATTATGGCCCAACAATTTACATCCAGAAACATGCAGAAAAAATGAATTTACAGCAAGTGTTGTGGATATTTGGAGAAGATCATCAGTTAACAGAAGTGGGAACAATGAACATATTTGTACTGTTAATAAATGAAAAAGGAGGTTAGTCTGAACCTTGCACAAAATTGTCAGTATATCTGGTTATTTCTCTGTGTGTGGTGTGTATATAAATTTTTCAGTCATATTCACATGAATTGATATATTTATAATTTAATTAATATGTATTAGATCTTCCTTTCGCTTCGTGGAGTTCGTTGATCCTTTGGGGCATCGTGAGAATCATCTCGTC